AGAAATTTTTGTGATCTTTTTTCATAGTTAGTTTCACAATTTTATTTCTGTTGTGAACAGAATCTATTATATTTTATAATGGGTTAGCTTTGGTGTGTAGGAAAGATACTGATTTTTGAGTGCTGATCTCCCTTTTGACCACTTTGCTGAAACTACTTTTGAATTCTAAAATCTTCTTAGATTTTCTAGTTAAATTATCATATCATCTGCAAAAAATGATAGTTTTATTTCTTCCTTTCTAATGCTTTTATTGCATTTCTTTTTCTTATCTTATTGCACTTGCAATACTATTTTCATGATTTTGGTCAACTCTTCACACTATTTAAACTAGGAAGTGAGATGTCTGAAGAATGTCAGGAGGATACAGACTTACTGCTATTTCGGGGTACTTCTTAGGAGTAGTTATTTTTGCCATGAGAAATGGTTTTGTGATTAGAGGGAAGTACAGGGGGCCAGCTTCCAAGTGAGATGTAATGGAAAAAAACATTGGAATGTTCTTCAAGTTGAAGAGCTATCTAAAGCTTATGTCAACAATATCCACTAACCAAAGAATCAGGCAGGCTTATGGATGTGGCTGTAGTCTTTCTACAAGCTTTGTCCTGTGGCAAAGGATTGTCTTAGACTTGTGGTTGGAAGAGAGGTTTCCAGACCTAATGTCAGGCTCTCAATGGATCAAACTCAGATAGACCCAACCCAACTTCATCGTTCACAACTGTGAAGGTGACAGTGTGCCATACTCCTGACCTCACGTGGTAAGACATATGTTTTGCAGTATTGATCCATCTACCCTCCTCACCTCCCATTGGAATCAATGGCTATGTTGTAAGGTAATGTCAAAGGTTGACAGTCTTAACAACGGAACAAAATAAACTGGTTGGATATAGAACTAACCTATGAACTTTGGTCTCTTTAGCAGAAAACTCTGATTATGGATTTAATCAGGCTAATGGTGTGGGAGTAGGAGTGGAAGCTGACCAATGGGTGTTGTCAGAGATGTCCTATAGAAATCAACATAAAGATGGTTGGAAATTCTTGAGTGAGGACATGACCACATTCAGCGTTCTTTTTCACAAGACGTTTGAGAGACATTTAACATCATACTTCCAATGGTCACAAATTGCTGCAAATCACAACTCCCTTTGGCAAGAAATTTTAAAGTTACTCCGTCTCAACAGAAGTTTGATTCTAACGTAGTGCTTTAAGTTTTATGCCTTGTTTAGAGTCTCCTCCTACCCCATTTTTAGAAAATTTATTATTGCACATGAGCAATCACACCCCTGGAGTTCAATGATATGAAGAAGTTGTCAAACTTCAAGTGAAATCCTTCGACTTTAATGAAGTGGATTTTCTCATCTTCCTTCTTCTTCCCTCAAGAAAACTTCAAACTTTGGAACTCAGAGTGGAACCGAAGGGCCTTGGGTAAATACGCACATAGATGAAATGACAATGTAGGCAGGCTGGCTCTGGAACAGACAATCCTAATGATATTGCTTCTGTGGGTTTTCCCTCTCTCCCTCCTGTTCATTTCTTTCTGAGTAATGTTTTGGGCCCAGTGGAAAATGCGTGATGTTTTCTGGTAGCTGAAATGAGGTTAAAGTAATGAAATTCTGCCAACTAAAGTTTAGGAGGAAAATGCTTAGTAGCTGCTGGGACACAGCCAGTCCCTGGGAAAGCAGTTGTGTAACCAGAAAAGGAACTCAGTGGCTTAGCCAGCAGTGAGTGTTTCTTGAGTGTAGGTCTCAGCACTTTGGTGGACTCTGGGAAGGGTCCTGTTTGAAAACTGGTCAGAAATGAATTTCCACTGGATGGTAAACTCCATGAGGGTAGAACTGATATTCTCTTTTGGCCAGGCTATCCCTAATGCCTAGACTACAAATCTGTTCTTGGAAAAATCAGTTGAGTGAGTCCCAAGGAGAGAAATCTGAGTGATATGGCAGATGCTTCTGATGCCTGTGTCCTAGCCCCTCACCTGTCTCTGAATGGGCAGTTCTAGACTCATCTTGTGCTGTACAGTGTGCAATGCTGGGCTATGAATCTTCCTGCCTTCTGTCTGGGCCCTCTCTGAGGTCACAGGAGTTTGCATGGCCATGCAGGGCAGACTAGAAGTAGGGTGACATTAACACTCTTGGGGGAACACCCAGCCAATGAGAGCTGGGAGCTCTTGGGCAAATGTTGGTGGATAAAGTCTTCTGTCTTTTAGGTGCACAACTGTGGGAGGCATCCTATTTGCCTGGAAGTGATTCTCTGTTGCTCACGGCAGTGACCTTGGTAATACACCCTCACGTTGGCTTTTCTTCCTTCCCTGTCTCATTCTCCCTCCTCTCTCACTCCTGCTTCTGAACATCACCTGCCAAATAGGACACTTGCACCCTAGTCCTTGGCTCTCACTCTGCTTTGGAGGAAACCCAAACTTTAAGACAGGTGTGTGTTGCGGGAGGAGGGGTGTAAGATTTGTTTTTCCAAGTGGGTTCTCCCATGACTACAGTCTTGTTCATGTTCCACCATGAGCCACACTGTTGCCATCTTAACTATCAGGGATTTAGAGCACTGGCCCTGGTCTGGCTGCCTGGGTTTATGACGTGTAAGTTGTGTGACCCTGGGCATGGTCCTTAATCTTTTTGTGATTAGTTTTCTTTTTCTGTAAAATGAAGACAATAACATCACATACCTACTAGATTGGTTATTGTAACTCAATGAGAGCGTATCTGTAAAGCTCTTGGCTCCATGCTGACACACACTGAGTGCAATCCATGCTCGCTGCTGTTAGGACAGTCACTTCTCATGGGATGCTACTTTCAATCTTCTGTATACTGCAGCTCTCTGTGTATACCTGTTATCCCTAATACTGAACTGTAAGCTTCTTAAGACTGGAACCTGTGGCTTTTCCATCTTTGTGTGCCCACTGCACCTAGCATTGTGACTTTCACAAAGCAGGCATTCAATGGCGTTATATGAATGGAAGAACATCCTTGCTATTATTGGCAATGATTTGAATAGCAACTGCCTATTCTCAGAACTTGGAAGTCTGGAATCACTATAGTGTCCTTCAGAAGCAAAGATTGACTTCTTTGTCATGGATTTTTGAGTACACTTTCCCGAAATATCATCATTATGAGATTGCATTTGTAATTGGTTGAGTCATTAAGAGCAGGAATTTATTTTTTCCTCTCTACAAGTGCTATCTAATAGAACTTTCCTTGGTGTTGAAAATGCTTTCACATGTGCCTAGTGGCTACTATATTGGCTCTTGAGTACTTGAAATGTGACAAGTGTGACTGAGGAACTGAATTTTAAATTTTATTTGATTGTAAATAAATTAAATTCAAATGTAAAGAGCCACACCTGACTAGCATCCGTAGTACTGGACAGTTCAGCGCTCTATAGTTGGTGCCATTAAAAGTGTGTTCAATGAAAGAGTGAGTGAATGTTAAACAATTAACATCTTTCCACATCTACTCTCTTCTTTGCCCTTCACATCTACCCTTTGAGGAATCATAGCAGAGCAATTATTATTTTACAGATGGTGATGATGATGATAGTACTATTCATTATAGTCGTATTCATACTGCCACTATTACTACTAACGATAGCAACAACTGATGGGAATTGAGCGTTACTCCAGGTATGTACTGGGTACTTTAGACACATTGTCTGGCTTATTCCTCATAATGACTTCATGAGGCGGTATCTTATTACTGATTTTCCCCTGTATTGGTCTTCTAGGACTGCCAAAACAAAATGCCACCAACTGGGTGGCTTGAACAACAGAAATTTATTTTCTTACAGTTCTGGAGGCTGGAAGTTGGAGATCAAGGTGTCAGCAGGTTTGGTTTCTCCTGAGGCCTCTCTTCCTGGCTTGCACACGGCTGCCTTCTTGCTGTGTCTTCACAGGGCCTTTCCTCTGTGTGTTTATCCCTGGGGTTTCTTAGTTTAGGTTTCCTCTTATGAGGACACCAGTCAGATTGGGTTAGGGCCCACATCTTTTCTTAATCACCTTTTTATGGCCCTATCTCCAAATACAGTCACATTCTGAGGTGCTGGGGGCTAGCGCTTCAACATATGAATTTTGGGAGGACACAATTCAGCTCGTAACACCCCCAAAGAAGACTCTGAGACAAGCACTTGGGGACAGGTAGTTTATCTGGAAAGCACAACTGAGTTTATGTAGAGGAAAGTGAGACACGTAGAAAAGCCAATAAAGGGTGTGCTAATGAGTAGGCTACTGGCCCTCAGTGCTGCTGGGGAGCACACGTCAGAACTGCCTGACCAGAGTCTGGGGAGGCTGGGGCATTTATCCACAGACTCTGCATCGGGCATAACTCCCTAGCACTTTGGAATTGTATCTGCTTCTGGAGAGCGGGCTCTTTTGGTGCAAGAGAAAGCCCCACAGCAGAGAAGAAAGAGATATAGGCGCTTAAGGTGGAAGCTGTCAGCTTCAGCTGGAAACTCAGCTGTGCCAAGGGGAAGTCGGGGTTGGGGGGCAGGGAGCAACGAGGAGATCAGTAGCATCTGCTACAGGAAGGTGACATTATTATCCCTATTTTCCAGATGAGGAAACTGAGAGAGAAGTTGAGTAACCTACAGCAAATGATGGAATTTGAATTTAGTGTATTTGATTGCATAACCCACAATTTTAACTACCACTTTAATGGAACTCATTTATGAATTGAATAAACATTTCTTGGGCATATCCTATATGCCAAACATCCAGTGCTAGGGATATAATGACAGGCAAAACACAGATCTACTCTTGAGGATCTCACGGCTTGGTAGTGACTTATCCAGAATTAGTCGGTAGCAGACCTGGGATGATAACCTAGGGCTTCAGTGACTGGCACAGTGTTCTTTGCTCTCCTCAAGCTGCGCTATGGACCCACAGGTGAGTGTTAAACATGCTCAGGCTATTCTTGTTCCTCTTTTAACACTCCCTTCTCAGTCTTAGAGATCAGCCCCTTTGTTGGCAGGAAACATCTCAGCTCTTTAGCTTTGTTCCCAAAAGAGGCTCCCTAGGAGATGAAGTGAAAGTGCACGTGAGGCTTATCACTGGGATTTGTTTCCTCCTACTCATTCACCTTTGCTTTCTCCCCCTCACAATACTCCTGCACATGCGTGTGTTGCCAGGTATAGTGGTCTCTGCACTCTGGGTTCTGTGATGTCACCCAGGTGAGCATGGTCAAGATGCCTGCCATGCGATGCGAGATGTAGGACTCCACCTGGGATCCATTTGAAAGGATCCAGTGGATCGGGTGGGGAGGGAAGGACTGAACCCAGCCGTCTCCATGAATTACTTGGCAGGAAAAGGAAGCATCTCCTCCTGGGTATGAATTGCTTTTAATCAAATTTATTTGTTTTGGGGTGGCAAGAATACAAAGTCTGTATCAGAATATGTGTGTTTCTGTAGCTATTGAGTCTGTATGTCTAACAAAGATCAATATATTGTGCCTGTGTTGACATTTCTGTCTCTGTAGCTGACAAATTCTTATTTTTCGTCCTTCAAATGTGTGCTCACTTATCATACCTCATTTGAGTATTATGGGAGCCTTATGAAGTAGTCAGAACAGACATTGTCTTCCTTTTACAGTGTGGAAACTGAGGTTGAGAGAGATGAACACTTACTCTACTTCACAGGGATTTTGGGAAGAATAATTGAAATTAAAAGTGTGAAAGGATGTTTGTAGAAACTGAAAGCATTATGCAGATATTATTGTTCCCCAAATCACGCATCTCTTTAGTGACAGAACTGGAATAAGACAGCATGCTTTTTTTGTGTGTGGTGAGGAAGATTTGCTCTGAGCTAACATCTGTTGTCAATCTTCCTCTTTCTTTTTTTGCTTGAGGAAGATTAGCTCTGAGCCAAAATCTGTGCCAATCTTTCTCTATTTTGCGTGTGGGTCACTGCCACAGCATGGCTGATGAGTGGTGTAGGTTGGAGCCTGGGATCTGAAACCATGAATGGGATCCAGACCTGTGCCAGCAAAGCAGAGTGCGCCAGACTTAACCACTATGCCACAGGGCTGGCCCCAGACAGCATGCTTTCTGACTTCCAGAACAGCACAGTGATTCTGCTGCTAGAGGATCATTGTTTTTACTGAGGCCTCTGAGAGTATCAAGGGAATCCACCTCACAGGTGGATGAGAATCTCGATGTTAAGTGAATCTGTGAATTATTCCTAGGTGTTCCAGTTACCATTGCTGCAGAACAAACCACTCCAAATTTAGTGGAGTCAAACAGCAACCGTTTTATTAAGCTTATGGATTCTGTGGGTCAGAAATCCCCAAAGGGCACACATGGAAATGACTTGAATTTGTTCTGTGACATCTAGGGCCTCAACTGGGGAGACTCGAAGGCTGGGGAGGACGCTACTGCTGGAGACTGGGATGCCCCATGGACTCTTTCACTCCCATGTCTAGTGCTTGAACTGAGAAGAAAACCAGGTAGCTTTCTTACATAGCAGCTCAGGGCTCCAAGTGCAGCTATTTCACTGGACAAGGCAGAAGCCAAACTGCTTTTTCACTTCTGCCATACTCTATTGATTACACAGGAACCAGAAGCCCACCCAACAAGGAAAGGGGGACACAGACATTATGTCTTGATGAGAGGAATGTCAAGGTCTCAGCATAGAAGAGCTTGCAGCATGGGAGACACTGTTGCATCCGTTTTGTACAATGCAATTTGCCATTCCTGGTTTCATCTGACTATCTTATTTTTTGCCCTTTATCTTAATTTCTTAAAAAAAGTTCTAGAATCATGTGTTTAGGGAAACTTCTTCCATATTTGTTTGAAAAGAATGTAGAAGTAGAAAAGATGAACAAATACAAATATTAGCTTTGTGAACAAGAGAGAAAACAGAAGCATAATTTATGCTTTGTCTGACTTCACAAGTATGGCTTTTTCTATCAATCTATGAAGATGAAATTAGCCATTGGGTAAATAAACAAGCTATTCAACCTATTGCTGGTGGCATTTACTAGTGAGGCAATTCTTGATAGCCTCAAATGGCTTTCCAGGCTGCAGCTGTATTATAGACACACGTTCAGCTGCATATGCGTTAAATGCACATCTATCAATCCCTCTCAATTATTTATTGAGTTAATGAAAGTCAATAATGTGTAAAACTGGCTGGCTGAATACTAAGCTACAGTAGTGGAAGCACACAATATCGTAGGGTGAGAGGGCTTTGATGGGCAGTGGGTGTTTCAGAGTGACAGGATGACAGCAGTCAGTGGGTAGTGTTACAGATAAAAGCCACTACTGGATCTAGCACTTGTCAAAGCTTTGTTACTGACATGCATGCTCAGGAGCCAGACAAGAAATGGATTCCCCAAGAATCTTCGGGAAGCGGTTTTATGTGGGAAAAATCAAAGTGCCATGAGGCTGTTTTCTGAAGTCCAGGATGGTGGTTTCAAAGACACGCTGAGCTGTCTTTGCCAGGGTGGTCATCTCCTGGCGTTCAGATTTCAGAGATAGCACTGATGTTCAGATTCCTGCATGCACGGGAGCACACCCCCCCTCCCGCCCCCATGCTCAGGACTCTCGGGTTAGTCAGGGCCGGACTATTTTTGTGCTTCATCATGGTTTTGGTTTGCAGAGTTGTTAGGGACATGAAAGGTGGATTGTAACAGGATGCCTGCAAAATTCCTTTTCTCGGCAGCTACTGAATACCTGCTGCATTTGAGGCGCTGGGAGGGACGTAAGGACTTCGAGGCTTAAATCCTGCATTCTAGCTGGGGAGACAAGAGGTCAAGGGTACAGTTTTGTCTTGTTAGCTGGATATGTATTTAAGAGACCAGCTGAGTGTTACAGACACAGTTTGTGTTAGGTGGGAGGGGGGCTCCCTGGGGATAAGGCTGTCAGTAAGTATTCCCAGAGCAGCAGGGCCCCCAAATGAACTTGGTGGGTGACTCAGATTCAAAAGATGTGAGGCCGGCATTCCTGGCTCAGCCTGAAGGAGCAGAGAGTGAGGAATAGGATGTGTGCCAAGGTGTGGAGGCAGGAACGGTGTGTGGGCCCCAACGCCAGGGAGTAATAACAACTGAAGTTGAAAAAGTCTACCGGGGTCATCTTACAGAGGGCAGCTGGCCTTTTGGCTGGAGGCAGAGGAAATCACTGCACGTCTTTGTTTTCAAGTAAGGCCGAGAAGACCAGTTTAGTGGAGCCTCCCCAACTAACGGCAGCCGGAGCTGAGAACAACCCACCCGGGAAATCACAGCTGTCTCTAAGGCCTGCCTTTGATTCTAGGACTCCTTACCAAGTGGCAGTGCTGATAAGGACACATGGGCCACTGTATGAATTACTCAGATCAAATTAAAGCCATCAATCTTGAGGACAAGCCCGATGGAGGCTGGGCCTGCCTCTGAGTTTGAATCAGAGTAGCTAAAGCTTCCATAATGAGCCCAGCTGCTCTGGGAACTGCTGTGTTCCAGGGGCCCAGTGCTCCAAAAGTTTTGTGCTTCTCATAGCCCATGAGGGAAGGGGACAAAGTGGGCCCCCACCTCCACACCTGGATGCCTGGCTGCGTAGCGGAGGCTCTGATCCTCTTTTAATCTTGCGGAATTGGGTTGGGGAATGCTGCGACAATGCTGGAAACAAACATCAGAGAGAATCAGGTTGGGAGAGGGAGAAAGCCCATGCAGGGTGACATCAGGTGACATTATGCTTGCCTCTTTCCCGCCTCCCTGCTTACTATGGATGCTCAGGGCTGCTTGTTAGCTGATTGCAAAAGCACAGGGGCATTAGCGCATACTTAGCATTGGCAACTCAAAACACTATCAAACTTTTTTCCTTTGAACAAACAGCACAGAAGCTATGGAGAGTGAAAGTATATTATTTTAAAGCAGCAACTGTATATAAGTTTTTCTCCAGAAAAGCAAGGGAAGTTATAATTTATTCCTTTAGAAATATCTATTAAGTACCTACTATGTGACAGGTATTAGACAAGGAATATCAGACGCCGTGGAGACCCAGAGAGCGTCCTGTGTCGTGGAGCTTTGATGGACGTGAGAAGTGATACTAAAGGGACCTGTAGAGTGCTGTGGATTTCCTTTTGTCTTCTCAGTTAATTTTAATACTCAAGATGGTGATACAAGATTGGAGCAATATTCTGCCATACAGAGGAATCAGAGAAGTGGATACATTCTTAAATGACATCATTATCATTAGTATTTTGCCTACGAAATAAGTCGAGAATTATAATCAGTTCTTATAATAAAAGTATGATATTCAGTATTCCTACATGATAATGCTGTCATAAATTGGCCCAAAGCTTTTGCAAAGCAATTTAGAAATAATTATCAAGAGCCGTAAAGATGTTTATCCCATTTGGCTCAATGAATCCCACTTCTGGGGACGGGATCTTTAAGAAACTCTTCAAAGTGTGGAACAAAGATGCTCTGTTCACAAAGTGAAGATGAGGTGAGCTACCTAGGGATGCTGCTCTCCACATTCTGATCCCACAGTGGCTCTTGGGATTTCCCTAGTTCACTGGTTCTCAAAGTGTGGCCCCTGGACCAGCAGTGACAGCATCACCTGGAGACTTAATACAAACGCGAATTTCTGTGCTCCGGTCCCGACCTGCCAATTCAGAGAGCCTACGTCTGCAGCTCAGTGATTTTGGGGTTTGGCACACAGCCCAGGGAATTCTATTTCCTGCTCAAGTCTGAGAACCATCTTAACCCGGTAGAGGCTCCGGAAGCTTGACAAGGGCGGCTAAGGAAGGGTGCATCGTGATTCTTTCTATCTGCTCAGTCTGGGCTCCCACTGCTCCCCAGTTTATCACTAGCACACAATTCATTATGTACATTTTTGATTTCTTTGGCCATTCTTCAGAGGTTTTCAGCTACTGCCAATCCATATAAAATCTACAAAGGATGGTAGAGAGGGTAAGACGGAGAGGGGAGAGACTGGAGAAACACCTTTAATAAACTTATTTCCTCTTTGAGTTGCAAACAGAGAGTGCAAGACAATAGGATCATTCCTTGATATGACCTGATAAACACGATAATAAAATTATCTGTTTAAAGTGCCTTGAAAAGACAATCCCACTTGCTCTTCATGTTGCCCTGGGTGGAGAGAGAAGTTCTGCTGCAGGACGAACCCAAGCTTCACGTGAGCCTGACGCCCGTGTGGCTGATGTGAGGGTCCTGCATGAGCAGGTTGGCTGGTACAATCTGCCGGGTTTTCACCTCCTGTGATGGACATGGCTGCTTCTGCACGGTAAATTAGATATAGCTGTTGTGTTGACATGGACAAATTGGCAATTACAGTAGAAACAATTCTGCTCTGGACTTCTGTTCCTGAGCTCGTGCTTGTCAGAGATTTCCTTGGCGGGTTGCCTTCTCCTGAGTCAGGTGTCGCACACCATGTCTCCACACAGCTCTCCTCTCCTCTCTCCCGTGAAAGGAGCAGTGCAGGCAATTCGCCAGCGATGTCTTGTGTCCTCAGCCAGCTCAGCAGTTGGAGCTGCCACTGCCCAGCCTTATCTTCCACAGGACCTGTGACAACAGGATTGGGGTGGGCACAGCTCCGCTCAAACTGAGCAAGCTGGGCTGAGGATATATTCCACAAATAATCAACTTATGCGGGCCCCTTTTAGCTTTCATGTCAGGAAGAGCATGTGGTGTCTGTAAATGCTGAATAACTGGAGTGACAGGCTGGCTCTTCCTACAGTCATTAAGCATTTAAAAATGATTTCTTTTCGGTTGGCGTGTGTGAACTTGGTTATCTATCTCCTGGGGAGCATTAGGGTTCTTTTCCCTACCCAGTTCTGCAGAACTGACCTTGATACCCACAAACAAATGGAGAGATTAAAATCAATAGAACTGGGCTTTTCTAACTGGAATAGTACACACGTTACATGGAAATTTGTTAAGATGCAGATTTTAATTCAGTTGTTCTGGGAGAGGCCAGAAATTCTGCATTTCTAACAAGATCCCAGGAGATGCTGACACTGCTGGCCTGTGGACCACTATTTTGAGTAGCAAGACTATAGAACAGCCGTGTCCAAACTTACATGTACATTGGAATCACCTGGGAAGGTTAAACAACTACTGACATATGTCCAATCCCTCAGAGATTGTGATAATTGGGCTGAGGCGTGGCCTAGACTTTGAAACTTTTAAGACTCCAGGTAATTGTAATGCGCACACCAATTGGGACCCACTGCTACAGAGGATGTGATAAAATAAACAGCTGGCACCTAGTAGACTCATGGCAGCCCAGTTAGCCTGGGAGCCAGTTCTGATGGGGAGGTTTGTACAGTAGGCTTGTCATGGGTTCCCAAAGCTAGCTGGGCATCTGAATCACCCTGGAACTTGTTAAAAATTTGGAATTCAGAGCACTGTCCCAGATTTAATGAATTTGAATCTCTGAAGTGGAGGCCCGGAAGTGTGCATTTCTAACAAGCTCCTCAGGTATTTGGAAACAGCCAGCCTAGCACAGGTGTGGACCCACCTGAGCTGAACAGCCATCTCTCAGGGGCCTTTCAGAGGGGTCATGTATTAGCTCCTCCAAGCCACCTATTGTTGCGCCACATTTTATATGTATTGTTTGAAATAGAGGCTGCTCCATTTCTATCCATCTTATAAGGATTCCCATGTGCTACTGTTCCTCTTCTATGATGTTGCTAGTGGCCAGCCACAATGTATAAAACTGAAATGATTCTAGAACTCTGGGACCTAGCCAGCCATTGCCTCCCGTGGTCTGACCTCAGCCTTTTATGGAAGAGGTCACCACCGTCTTGCGAGATAAAGCTGTGCTCAGAACAGAACTCTGAGGCTAGGCTAGGCTCTCATGAACTTGTGTGCCCTGGAGAGGTGCTCTCCCTCTCCGTGAGTTACCTTTTCTGGCTTTGAGGGCTAAATCCCCTAATCACGTTCTGTATGTAGAGAGATATTTCTATCTCCTTTCTGTTCTTTTTACTTTTTGTCCCTCTGGGAGGCAGTCAGTATTTAGAATGAATATCCCTGAGCTATCGAGAAGCATTGGGAAATTTTAGAGCTGATGAGGCTCTGTAGGTATCACCATCCTCCCCTGGGTCTTGTTCCAGGCAAATTGGTCCCCTTAACATTCCTGGTTGCACCTCGAGCCTTGTAGTCATGTGATTTTTGCACATCATTCTTTCTTTCCTTCAAGATTCAGCTTCTACTTCTGTCTTCCCCTTCAAATCCTTCTCATCCTTTAGTATTGCAGCAGTCCCTCTTTCTCTGTGAAACTGGCCAGAGTGAAAGATGGGTAGGATCTGGTATTGGAAATGTAAGATGGATCATTGAGTGACTAGCTAAGATGTCTGGAGTTTTTCTGCTAAGCATGGAGCACTCAAGAGTTGGGAAATGATATTATCAGATCTATGCATGAGGAATATTGAGAATAAAAGTTAAGAATTGGGGACCAATTACGAGGGTATTGCAAAAATCCAAGTGAGAGAGAAAGCCTCTTTTGGGGTAGTAGGAATGGAGCAAAGGAAATAAAAATCATCAAAATAAATAATACCCCATAAAAAGATAAGCAACTACTTAGATATATTTAGTGCTTGACTCTCCCAATTTCCTAGGAGATAATGCATGTGAAAGTGCTGTCATAAACTGGAAAGTCCCCTATAAAAGTAGATTATTGTGATTAGTAGCTCATTGTTCATGAGTTTATCCAAATCTTGGAAAAACTATTAAATTTAATGATTATCAAAAAAGTTAGATAAAACAGAAGCCATGATCTCTATGATATGATGACATAATATTTCCTCAAAAGAAAGTTGTCTGAATAGCATATCTACTTTAAAGGCAATCCAAATTTTAAGTCTGAAAATTCTGCTTTGA